GAGGAGGAGGAGGAGGAGGAGGAGGAGGAGGAGATTGGATTTATACCCCGCCCTTCACTTGGAGTCTCAGAGCGGCTTACAAACTCCTTTCCCTTCCCCTCCCCAAAGCAGACACCCTGTGAGGTAGGTGGGGCTGAGAGAGCTCTTGACAGAAACTGCTCTTTTTCAAGGACAGCTCTTATCAGAACTATGGCTTGCCCAAGGTCATCCAGCAGCCGCAAGTGGAGGAGTGGGGAATCAAACCCGGTCCTCCCGGATTAGAGTCCACACACTTAACCACGACACCAAACTGGCTCACGACAGGAGGAAGTGGATCTTCAGGGGAGGGTTCCCCAACCTTTTAAACCCCGTGAGGTCCTTTGGAATTCTGACACAGAGCAGTGGGCACAATCCACAAATGGCTGCCACAGGAGGCAGTGCCAACTCTAATAGAAACTCGGCAACATCTCGGGCAGAAGCTCTGTTACAGGATGCCTTTGTATCTGCACATCCAATCAGAAGCCTTGCTGGGTAAAAGACCTACCTAGCCCCACCCACTTTGTGAAAGCACTCGGTGGCCACCAGGAAAGGTATTGGCGGGTGCCGTGGTGCCCACGGGCACGGAGTGTGGGACTCCAGCTTCAGGGACTTCTGCATCTTTTCAATCACTTCCTCAGCCATGAGGGCTAGAAACTTGTCTTGCGGCATAATCAACAAAGCACACACGCCCTGGTCAAGCATACCTTATTGTAAGTGTAAGGTGTTGGTGAGGTAGGGATGATACCAGATTTCTCTTTCTGATGCCTTCTTTGTGCCTCTAGAACCTGTGGGAGTGGAGGGGAAACACGGGTCAACCTTAACCTTAGCTGTACAATTTCTTCCCCCCACCCAATTTAAAAGGGGACTCTCTAGGCTCCAGAAAACAAAGCAACGCTCTGAGATTTTGCAAATCTGTCTGTACTTTCGGGATAGCCATGTGTAGGGCTGGGCATCCCAACCACTCAAACAGCGGCCCAAGGATTTTTTAAACCACTGACTTTATAAGAACAATTAAAATATATTTTTAATCAGGAACAGATCTGTTAACATTGCTAATTACACATAAGAACATAAGAGAAGCCAAATGTTGGATCAGGCCAATGGCCCATCTAGTCCAACACTCTGTCACACAGTGGCCAAAAATACCAGGTGCCATCAGGAGGTCCAGCAGTGGGGCCAGGACATTAGAAGCCCCCCCAAGCACCCAGAATATAGAGAGCATCCCTTGCTCCAGACAGAGAGTTCCTATAAGAACATAAGAGAAGCCAATGCTGGATCAGGCCAGTGGCCCATCTAGTCCAACACTCTGTCACACAGGGGCCAAAAATACCAGGTGCCATCAGGAGGTCCATCAGTGGGGCCGGGAGCACTAAAGGGCCTTGCAAAGTTTCCCCCCCCCCCCCAAGCACCGAGAACACAGAGCATCCCTTGTCCCAGACAGAAAGTTCCTATAAGAACATAAGAGAAGCCAATGCTGGATCAGGCCAAAGGCCCATCCAGTCCAACACTCTGTCACACAGTGGCCAAAAATACCAGGAACCATCAGGAGGTCCAGCAGTGGGGCCAGGACACTAGAAGCCCTGCCTTAGCCTGTCGTTATGGTGAAACGATGACATCAGCTATCAAAATACATGTAATCCACGTTTGTAACTGTTAACATCCGCTCAGGTTCCTATATTAGCGACTGGAAGATTCACGGAACAGTTTGGATTTCATCTGGAACCCTGGGGTCAGCTGGCAGTTACAACTAAAACCCAAGTGAAGTAACCCTGATTATTTAAAACAAAAACTTGAGATTTTAAAGGTGGACATGCTAATAGCCCAGACTAGGCCAATCTTCTCCGAGCTTTGAGGCAAGCCAGGACTGACCGTGCTCGGCACCTGGATGGGCGACCACCAAGGAAGACGAGGGTTACGGTGCAGAGGAAGACGTCTCCGTGGCTTACCTGAGGTGCTACATAGTAGGGAGTGAACTGGGGGGTCATCAGGTCACCCTGGTCGACCTTGGCAAATCCAAAGTCACACAGCTTCACCGGGGCATCCTAAATGCAAGCAGGAAGAGGGAGGAGGAGGAGGGAGGAGGAGGAGGGAGGAGGAGGAAGAAGAAGAGGAGGAGGAGGAAGAGGAGGAAGAAGAAGAGGAGGAGGAGGAGGAAGAAGAAGAGGAGGAGGAGGAAGAAGAAAAAGAAGAAGAGGAGGAGGAGGAGGAAGAGGAGGAAGAAGAAGAGGAGAAGGAAAAAGAGGAGGAAGAAAAAGAGGAGGGGGGGAGGAAGAAATTGGATTTATACCCTGCCCTTCACTCAGAGTCTCAGAGTGGCTTACAAACTCCTTTCCCTTCCCCTCCCCACAACAGACACCCTGCGAGGTAGGCGGGGCTGGGAGAGCTCTTTCCAGAACTGTCCTTGAGAGAACAGCTCTGACAGAACTACAGCTTGCCCAAGGTCATTCAGCCAGCTGCAAGTGGAGGAGCAGGGAATCAAACCCGGTTCTCCCAGATCAGAGTCCACGCACTTAACCACTACGCCAAACTGGCAAGGGCAGCGTTACATACTGGGGCGCTCACCCCGCTTTCGAGAACACGATCGATGCTCTGGGTGAAGCTGTCAGTAACAGGATGCTAACAAACCTGGGCTCCTTTTGTGAGCAAAGCAAAGATTTGTGTCTGAGGGAGGGGGGAAAGACTCAGGAAGAAGAGGACTGGGAGACTCAGGAAGAAGAGGAGCCAGGCAGACTGAGCGACGGGGGATCCCGGGCGGCCGGAGGAAAGGGGACAGAACAGATGGTGGGTGGGATGATCAAAGGAAGGGTGGAAGCGGGCAGACCGAACGGGTCGCCCTGAGGTGAACTAACCAGCGGCGTCATGAAATCAGAAAAGCGAGGAAGGGCAAAGTCTCCATCTTACCAAAGAATTATCCTTGAAAAGAAGGTTCTCAGGCTTGAGGTCTCGGTGTGCAATGTTCAAAGAATGACAGTGTTGCAAAGCCAAGGCTATCTGGAAGAAGGCACAAGACGTTAGCTTCGGTTACGGAAAAGACGGTCGCCATCACAAAAGCATTTGATGTACCCGGCAGAGGCGATGGGTCCTTCTGCCCGCGGCAGAGCCACAGAGGGGCTTGGTGCGGCCCGCGTACAAGATAGCAGCTCCTCGACTCCGAATTGATAACCAGGCTCTGCACCCATTAAGCACATGCTGAAAGAGGAGCAAAGCTGTGTTCTCTGTCCGCTCCGGCAGAGATAAAGGCACTAGAATATTCACAGAAACATAGAGTTGGAAGGGGCCTCCAGGATCATCTAGCCCAACCCCTAGCACAAGGCAGGAACATTCACAAATACCTCCCCCTCCACCCCCGCAGTGACCACTGTTCCACGCCCAGAAGAACAAGAAGTAAGCACTGATGCAACCCTCCCTGCCCTCCCTCTCATGATCTGCCTCAGTTCACAAGATCCGCATTGCTGTCAGATGGCCATCTAGCCTCTCTTTGAAAACCTCCCAAGAAGGAGAGCCCACCACCTCCCAAGGAAGCCTGTTCCACTGAGGAACGGCGCTGTCAGGAAGTTCTTCCTAATGTTTAGCCGAAAACTCTTTCTGATTTCATTTCAACCCGCTGGTTCTGGTCCGACCTTCTGGGGCAACAGAAAACAACTCCGCACCATCCTCTGTATGACAGCCCTTCAAGTCCTTGAAGACGGTGATCATCTCTCCTCTCCAGGCTCAACATACTTAGCTCCTTCAACCTTTCCTCATAGGACTTGGTCTCCAGACCCCTCACCATCTGCATTGCCCTCCTCTGGACACATTCCTCCAGCTTGTCTAGATCCTTCTTAAATTGTGGTGCCCAAAACTGAACACAATACTCTAGGTGAGGTCTAACTAGAGCAGAGTAAAGCGATACCATCACTTCGCGTGATCTGGACACATCCCGTGATCTGTTCACTGAAAAGCATCTAGTACCAGCCTTAAGCACACTGGTGAACCACCAGAGAAGAAGGTGGCTGACTTGCAGGGAGGCGTGGAGCACACAGAAGAAGAGAAGAAGAAGAAGAGATTGGATTTATACCCCGCTCTTCACTTGGAGTCTCAGAGCGGCTTACAAACTCCTTTCCCTTCCCCTCCCCACAACAGACACCATGTGAGGTGGGTGGGGCTGAGAGAACTCTGACACAAACTGCTCTTTTTCAAGGACAGCTGTGCCACAGCTTGTGACTGACCCAAGGTCACCCAGCAGCTGCAAGTGGAGGAGTGGGGAATCAAACCCGGTTCTCCCAGATTAGAGTCCGCACACTTAACCACCACACCAAACTGGCTGTGAATGGTGCCTGCCTTAAAGCAAGTTGCTTTTATAGTAAAACCGGTTCTCCTGCACTTCTCATGCTGCATAAGAACAATGTTGGACGCCAATGTCGGATCAGGCCAAAGGCCCATCCAGTCCAACACTCTGTGTCAGACAGTGGCCAAAAATACCAGGTGCCATCAGGAGGTCCACCAGTGGGGCCAGGACATTAGAAGCCCTCCCACTGTTGCACCTGCCTGACCTGGATGGCCGAGGCTACCACAATCTCATCAGATCTCAGAAGCTAAGCAGGGTCAGCCCTGGTTAGTACTTGGATGGGAGACCACCAAGGAAGTCCAGGGTTGTTAACGCAGAGAGATGCAATGGCAAACTACCACGGAATGCCCGTTGCTTTGAAAACCCTCCAGGAGCTACCATAAGTCGGGGGCAACGTAATGGGCACTTTCCATCAACACCCAGGCAAGCTCATTCTGTTGCTTTGGAAGGGACCTGCTGGGGAAGGGAACGGAAAACAAATCAGCCAGTATCATAATGCCCCTGTATAAATCGAGGGTGCAACCTCATTTGGAGTACTGTGTACAGTTCTGGTCACCACACCTGAAAAAGGATATTATAGCACTGGAAAAAGTGCAGGAGAGGGCAACTCGAATGGTAAAAGGGTTGGAACACTTTCCCTGTGAAGAAAGGCTTAAAGTGCTTGGGGCTCTTTAGCTTGGGGAAACGAGGGCTGAGGGGTGACATGATCGAGCTTTATAAGATTATGCGTGGGATAGAGCAGGTCGAGAAAGAAGTACTTTCCTCCCTTTCTCACAATACAAGAACTCGTGGGCACTCCATGAAATTGCTGAGCAGTCGGATTAGAACGGATACAAGGAAGAACTTCTTCACCCAAAGAGTGATTAACACATGGAATTCACTGCCACAGGAGATGGCGGCTACAAGCATGGATAGCTTCAAGAGGGAATTAGATAAGATTGTGGCTATTAACCACAAGGTATAGATAGGAACTCTCGGTCTGGGGCAAGGGATGCTCTGTATTTTTGGTGCCTTGGGGGCAACGCAACAGTGGGGGAGGGCTTCTAGTGTCCTGGCCCCACTGCTGGACCTCCTGATGGCACCTGGTATATCTGGCCACTGTGTGACAGAGTGTTGGACTAGATGGGCCATTGGCCTGGTCCAGCACTGGCTTCTCTTATGTTCTTATGTCATCTACTCCAACCCCCTGCACAATGCAGGAAATGTCAGGGGTTGAGCTTAAATTGTACGTGGCTAGGTTTAAGGTGCCCTGCTACTCATCTTTGCAAAAACTTTCCAATTCCTGCCTTATCAATTTTCAGAGTTTAAGCTGACTGAAGTGCATTAAGCAGTTATTAGTGTTTTGTCAGTGAAAGTCATGGCTCATGAGGTGCGGTGACCAGAACCTTAATAAAGCAGGGGTGTCAAACTCATTTGTTATGAGGGCCAGATCTGACATAAATGAGACCTTGTTGGGCCGGGCCATGTGTGTCATACAATGTAATGCCAGGTAGTGAAGATATAAACTTTATAAAGGACACAAACACAAAGGGTTTTTTTTACTTAAAATAAAAACATGCTTAAAACATTAGCACTCTTGCAATACTTTATTTATTTAATAGTGTCTGATAACGGACACCTCTTGCATTGAATTATTGCATCAAAATGTCTGCGCAGTTGCAATCTTGAGTATGCTGTTCAGGTGTGTATCTGTAAGCTGCGAATCTACGATGATGCAGCAGCAGCAGAACTGGAAGAAGCAGCAGAAGACAGCCAGTTCCACTGCGGGCCTGAGAGAAGCCCTCCGGGGGCCTGATCCGTCCTCCAGGCCACATGTTTGACACCCCTGGTATAAAGTATTGCAAATGAGGCCATACCATCGATTTATATAGGGGCATTATGATACTGGCTGATTTCTTTTCAGTCCCCTTCCTAATAATCAACAGCACAGCATTTGCCTTTTTTATTGCCATCGCACACTGTGTATGCACCTTTTAGCTTTCCTGTATTTGTGGGGGGGGGGGCACTCAAAAAGGCCTCCTTATAAGTTTGTCAAGTTGTACCAGAAACACTCTTTGCTTCATTCAAGGACCCATCAGAGTGAAAACGTTAAAAAGGAGAATATGACACCCAATTACTTTTAGTTTTCAAGACCAAAGCATTCACAATACTCCACAGGAAGTGAGATTTTCAGCAATGACACGGCATTGCCACAATAAGACACTTCTAGTTTTTGCTAACTGGCCCTCTGAACCTTTCACGCATTCGAGCAATAAAGTTCCACGCAGCAACGAAGTCCGGTACCAGATTTCAGCTACGGAGACAAGGTGCTGCCACATTTCCCCCTCTCGGCTAAAGACTCAACCGCAGCTTTCGCTATTGCCAGCTACGCGGTCCTCAAAACAAGCTATTACTGGCTCTTGTCGAAAACACAGTTGTTTCGCTTGAACCATAAAGGGAGAGGAGGAGGAGATTGGATTTATATCCTGCCCTTCACTACCCGAAGGAGTCCCAGAGCGGCTTACAAACGCCTTTCCCTTTCCCTTCCCCTCCCCACAACAGACACCCTGTGAGGGAGGTGGGGCTGAGAGAGCTCTGACAGAAACTGCTCTTTTTCAAGGACAGCTCTTGTCAGAACTGTGGCTTGCCCAAGGTCATCCAGCAGCTGCAAGTGGAGGAGCGGGGAAAAACCTGGTTCTCCCAGATTAGAGTCCGCGCACTTTTGGGTAGTAAAGGGCAGGGTATAAATCCAATCTCTTCTTCTTCTTCTTCTTCTTCTTACGTGTGTTTGTCATTTCTCTCTACTTGAGACCTCACGGTGTCCTCCCAATATGCAGATCTACTGTGAATTCACAATTGACCAGTAAGGAAAAATTTAAACAATCCCTAACTGAGCATTTGAGACTTTTCTACGTGCACTCAGTGCTTTTGCACACACTTGTATTTCCCAAAATACTGCCCACATCTCCTCCGCAGAGGTTACTGCCCTGGGCCAACCTCGGCCTCGCCAGTCTCTCCTGGGAACAGGCAAATCTGCTCACACTCCACACGGAGGGCAATCGGGTCATTCACCCCCACTCCGAACACAGGCCCTGCTCTAATGATCGCTCTCAAGATTGGAATCGATTGCCTGTGGCCGTGAGCACAGACAGCTTTAAAGGGGGACGGGGCAGATTCGTGGAAGAGAAGGCCATCGATAGCTACCAGCCATGGTGGCTAATGCAAACCTCCACATTCAGAGGCAGCACCGCTCTGAATACAAGTTCTGGGAGGCAACACCGGGGTGGATGTCTTGGCTTCTGGGCTCTATCTGCTGGCCTTTCAGGGCAACTGTCTGTCCACTGTGCGAATCAGGGTTCTGGATTAGGTGGACCACCAGTCTGATCCAGAAGGGCTTTTTTTACATTTTTGTTGTGTGATCGCCAATTACTTCTGTTATGAATAGTTACTCTGCATATCCAGTACGTAACTGAACTTTACATAGGAACGTAAGAGAATATTTACCCAGGATATCCCTGGGAATATCTCCAGGGACATTCGTCTGCCCCTTTCCATCACTGCTTTCACCTGGTGGATAAAGACTTTTTTGTTTCATTGGGCGCTGCCTCAACGCCATTTCCTTCCATTCCCGTATGTTTTAATTGTGGGTCTTTTATTTCATTTTTTTTTGGTTTAAACTGATTTTAACACATTTTATAACATTTTTCTTTTAACCGTTAGCATCCACGGGCAGTTTGCTGAGCGGAAAAGCAGGATGTAAATATATATACTAGTAGTAATGCCATTGTAAAATCAATACAATGAGTTCTAGAAAGATCTCGGCCTTGCCCTCCTCCTTTGCCACCTTGTCCTCCATGGCGCTGGCCCCGTCCGCTCACAGCCCGCCCGCCCACCCGCACCCGGTGGCGGCTGACAACGACCGCTTCGGCGCCACCATGGTCGGCCTCAGCCTCCTCAACGTCCACCTGCCGGAGCATCTGGACCGTCCGTTGGTCCCCAGCACAGTGAGCCTGAGACGCTGCTGGTTCTAAGGGCTCGCAGTTCGCTCGGCTACCTGTACCCAGCCACGGCTGACAACGGCCGCTGTGGTGCCACCATGGTCGGCCTCGGCGCCACCACCATGGTGAGTCTCGGCCTTCACACCCTCCACCCACCAGAGCGTCCTTCACGTCCATCGCCTCACACCACACTGAGTGCAAGACGCTGGCCACCGCTTCTATGGGCGGGACTTAGGCAACACAGCCAGTGGATTGGCACACCCTCAGAGTGACAGGTCAGGGAGCCAACTGAGTTGGGGGCGCATGGAATGTTCAGCAAAGTGCCACCACAAAACAGAATTTTTTCCACCCCCCAAGTTTACATTTCTTTTTCTTCTATATACCTGTGCTGAAGACACACTGCATACATTAACCCTAACCTGGATGGCCCACGCTAGCCCAGTCTCATCAGATCTCGGAAGCTAAGGAGGGTCGGCCTTGGTTAGTATTTGGATGGGCGACCTCCAAGGAATACCAGGGACGTGACGCAGAGGCAGGCGATGGCAGACCACCTCTGAAACGTCTCTTGCCTTTAAAAAAGTCTAGCTCGCCACCTAGCGGTGCACAACGCAAAAAAGAAGTAGAACTTCTGACTGCCAGACAACCTTAGCATCTCCTGGCTATACTATACCCACTGCCATACGAAAATAATAATAACCGGACGCATTCAGAAAAACAGGCTCTAATCCACTGAAGTTTTTGCAGCAACAAGCCTGTCAGTCACTTTGTGTTTTCCTGATCCGCAGAGGTGGCACCACTGCCCACCCAAACAGGAGGGTTTGCCTGATGTCTCTGGGCATGAGTCACCGCTTCGGGCTTGCAGCCACCCCATATGAGCCATGCTCCCCGCAGTGACTCATGCCCAGACACGAGGGGTAGGCTCCTAGGAATGCCAGTAATTCTTGTTTATAGACACGGGATGCTTCCAAGCCTGGCACAGACTTTTGGAACGGTCAGATTATAACAAAGCAGGCAATCGGCTTCCTGATTGGGGCTGGGTTTTGCTTTTTTTGGGGGGGGGGAATTAATAAAAAGCTTGCCTCTCTCCCTCCCGGCCCAAGAAAACCATCGGCTTCTTTACAAACAGTTCCCGTGGCTGCTGGTTACACAAAGGGGGGTGGGGTGGAAAGGGGGGGGAGAGTTGAAACTTGCCTGCTTTGTTACTTGGCTTGCTTGCTTCTCAGTAAAGTGCCGGTGTTGGCTGATTCTGTGGAAGAGTTCACCCCCTTCCATCATCTCCATTACAATTAGAAGCCGAGCCCTGTTTGAAAGCATTTCAGTTTGTTACACAAAGTCCAAATGTTAACAAGAGCTAAGCTCATTTTCTTAAAAAAAACATCGAGCCAGGGAGGACCGGGATAAAACAACCACACAGAACAGGTTAGATGCTTTCTACCTATATGTAATGCTTGAGGAAGTCTGTTTCAGTGTATCTGAAGAAGTGTACATCTACGCATGCTAAGTCACTTACTTCTCACATGCCCAGAATTAAACTTTGCTGGTCTTAAAGGTGCCACTGGAGTCAAACTCAGTTCTCACATCTGTTTGTTAACCCTTTTATTTGTATGCTGATTTGCTTCCATTCACAGGTCCTACCAACCACTTTAGTCCAACCTCCCTCAGCTACTTATGCATCTTGACTCTAACTAGTCCTCCCTGGTAACTATCCCCTCCATCTATATGTAAGACTTGAGGAAGTATCTTTCAATGTATCTGAAAAAGTGTCCATGCACACAGAAGTTTATCCCCAGACTCAGGGGTTATTTCCTGCGGGAGCGCACAGGAGCGGAGCTCCGGCAGTAAAGAGCCCAAGGGGCGGGCACATGCAACAAGCCCCGCCCCCTGCTCCCAGCAACCCTCAGTCAGGCCACGAGGAGCAAGAAGCAGCCAGGTAAGTTGCAGCACCCCCCTCCGCCTGCCTTCAGGTACAAGCTCTCCCTCCTCTGTTAGGGCAGATCTGTGCATCCCCCCCCCATAGCTAGCAATCCAAAACAGTCCAGTGGCACCTTTAAGAACAAGTTTTATTCAGGTACAAGCTCTTCCTCCTCTGCGAGGACAGATATGCACGTCCCCCCCGCCCCCAAATAGCTAGCAATGCAAAACAGTCCAGTGGCACCTTTAAGACCAAGTTTTATTCAGGTACAAGCTCTTCTTCCTCCGCGAGGACAGATATGCACGTTCCCCCCCCCCCCCAATAGCGAAATACAAAACAGTCCAGTGGAGCCTGAGCGGTGGGTTCAGGGAGTGTGGCATATGCAAATAAGTTATGCTAATGAGCTCCTGCACCTCTTTTTCTATGACATTTTCCCTGCCCAGACTTAAACTTTGTTGGTCTTCAAGGTGCCACCGGACTCAAACTTTGTTCTGTTACAGAACAGGTTAATAGCTCTGCTGGCCTGTTCGGCATTTAAGAAGAACGAAGCCCTTCACCACACAGTGACGGGGAGCCCATTTTCTGCGTACGAAAGGCTACTGCCAACATATGACGGGTAGCATCTAACTCTGATGCTCTCTTGCTTCAGGAGGGGGAAAAATGAAGGTACTTGTGGGTTTTTCTCCCCAAGACCACGTGACCGCTGCAATCCATTACATGCTGGACGCATGAGAACTCGCTCCAGCTGGTAGATCTACGCCACAGCTCAAGTCAATGCAGCTCCCGGTCATTTCAGGGAGCAAGAGAGTTTTCTCCAGGGGATCACACTCCACAGTCAGCTCCGTCTTTCATTCCGCCAGCCTTACTGGCACCCAAAACACATCGCCTGAAGCAGCCACCTCACCTGCCCTCTTGGTCTGGCTGCCCTAGAAGCTGGTGCTAAAAGGAGGAACAAGAGACCAGTTGCAGCGTCTCGGCTGCTCGTCTCTGAAATCAGCCACAAACACTCAGAAGGAGGCAGCTGGGAACCAGACGGCTAAGAGATCAGACCG